CGCAATAGTTTCTCGTGGTCACGCAATAGTTTCTCGTGGGCACGCATTTGTTTCTCGTAGTCACGCAATAGTTTCTCGTGGGAATGCAAATTTCTCGTGGGCTCGCAATAGTTACCTGTACACACGCAATTTCTAGTGGGCACGCAATAGTTTCTCGTGGACACGCAATAGTTTCTTGTGGTCATGCAATGGTTTCTAGTGGTCACGCAATAGTTTCTCGTGGGCACGCATTTGTTTCTTGTAGTCACGCAATAGTTTCTCGTGGGCATGCAAATTTCTTGTGGGCTCGCAATAGTTACCTGTGCACACGCAATTTCTAGTGGGCACGCAATAGTTTCTCGTGGACATGCAATAGTTACTCGTGGTCATGCAATAGTTTCTAGTGGTCACGCAATAGTTTCTCGTGGGCACGCATTTGTTTCTCGTAGTCACGCATTTGTTTCTCGTAGTCACGCAATAGTTTCTCGTGGGCATGTAAATTTCTCGTGGGCTCGCAATAGTTACTTGTGCACATGCAAGTTTCTAGTGGGCACGCAATCGTTTCTCGTGGGCATGCAAAAGTTTCTCGCAGGCACGCAATAGTTTTCTTGTGGCCACGCAATAGTTTTCTTTTGGCCACGTAATATTTTTTCGTGGGCACGCAATAGTTTCTCTTGGGCACGCAATAGGTTCTCATGGGCACGCAATAGTTTCTCATAGGCACGCAATAGTTAGTTTCTCGTGGGCACGCAATAGTTTCTCATGGGCACGCAATAGTTTCTCTTGGGAACGCAATAGTTTCTCATAGGCACGCAATAGTTTCTTGTGCGCACGCAAGTTTCTCGTGGGCACCCATTAGTTTTTATGGTCACGCAATAGTTTCTCGTGGGAACGCATTTGTTTCTCGTAGTCACGCAATAGTTTCTCGTTGGCATGCAAATTTCTCGTGGGCTCGCAATAGTTACCTGTGCACACGCAATTTCTAGTGGGCACGCAATAGTTTCTCGTAGTCACGCAATAGTTTCTCGTGGGCACGCAATAGTTTCTCGTGGGCACGCATTTGTTTCTCGTAGTCACGCAATAGTTTCTCGTCGGCACTCAATAGTTTCTTGTGGGCATGCAATAGTTCCTTGTGGGCACGCAAAAGTTTCTCATGGGCACGCAAAAGTTTCTCATGGGCACGCAAAAGTTTCTCATGGGCACGCAAAAGTTTCTCATGGGCACGCAAAAGTTTCTCATGGGCACGCAAAAGTTTCTCATGGGCACGCAAAAGTTTCTCATGGGCACGCAAAAGTTTCTCATGGGCACGCAAAAGTTTCTCATGGGCACGCAAAAGTTTCTCATGGGCACGCAAAAGTTTCTCATGGGCACGCAAGAGTTTCTTTTGCAAAAGCAAGTTTCTCATAGGCACACAGTTTCTTTTGCACACGCAAGTTTCTCGTGGGACACATTCGTTTCTTGTGGTCTCGCAATAGTTTCTTGTGGTCACGCAATAGTTTCTCGTCGGCACTCAATAGTTTCTTGTGGACACGCAATAGTTCCTTGTGGGCACGCAAAAGTTTCTCATGGGCACGCAAAAGTTTCTCGTGGGCACACAATAGTTTCTTGTGCACACACAAGTTTCTCATAGGCACGCAATAGTTTCTCGTGGGCACACAATAGTTTCTCATAGGCACGCAATAGTTTCTCGTGGGCACACAATAGTTTCTCATAGGCACGCAATAGTTTCTCGTGGGCACACAATAGTTTCTCATAGGCACGCAATAGTTTCTTGTGCGCACGCAAGTTTCTCGTGGGCACCCATTAGTTTCTTATGGTCACGCAATAGTTTCTCGTGGGCACGCATTTGTTTCTCGTAGTCAGGACACATTCGTTTCTTGTGGTCATGCAATAGTTTCTTGTGGTCACGCAATAGTTTCTCGTCGGCACTCAATAGTTTCTTGTGGACATGCAATAGTTCCTTGTGGGCACGCAAAAGTTTCTCATGGGCACGCAATAGTTTCTCAGGGGCATGCAAGTTTCTCGTGGGCTCGCAATAGTTACCTGAGCACACGCAATTTCTAGTGGGCACGCAATCGTTTCTCGTGGACACGCAATAGTTCCTTGTGGGCACGCAAAAGTTTCTCATGGGCACGTAATAGTTTCTCGTGGGCATGCAATAGTTCCTTGTGGGCACGCAAAAGTTTCTCATGGGCACGTAATAGTTTCTCGTGGGCATGCAATAGTTCCTTGTGGGCACGCAAAAGTTTCTCATGGGCACGTAATAGTTTCTCGTGGGCATGCAATAGTTCCTTGTGGGCACGCAAAAGTTTCTCATGGGCACGTAATAGTTTCTCGTGGGCATGCAATAGTTCCTTGTGGGCACGCAAAAGTTTCTCATGGGCACGTAATAGTTTCTCGTGGGCATGCAATAGTTCCTTGTGGGCACGCAAAAGTTTCTCATGGGCACGTAATAGTTTCTCGTGGGCATGCAATAGTTCCTTGTGGGCACGCAAAAGTTTCTCATGGGCACGTAATAGTTTCTCGTGGGCATGCAATAGTTCCTTGTGGGCACGCAAAAGTTTCTCATGGGCACGTAATAGTTTCTCGTGGGCATGCAATAGTTTCTCACAGGCACGCAATAGTTTCTTGTGCACATGCAAGTTTCTAGTGGGCACGCAATCGTTTCTCGTGGGCATGCAATAGTTTCTCACAGGCACGCAATAGTTTCTCACGGGCACGCAATAGTTTCTCATGGGCACGCAATAGTTTCTCGTGGGCATGCACATTTCTCGTGGGCTCGCAATAGTTACTTGTGCACATGCAAGTTTCTTTTGGCCACGTAATATTTTTTCGTGGGCACGCAATAGTTTCTAGTTGGCACGCAATAGTTTCTCTTGGGCACGCAATAGTTTCTCATGGGCACGTAATAGTTTCTCATGGGCACGCAATAGTTTCTCGTGGGCACGCAATAGTAGTTTCTCATTGGCACACAATAGTTTCTCATTGGCACACAATAGTTTCTCATTGGCACACAATAGTTTCTCATTGGCACACAATAGTTTCTCATTGGCACACAATAGTTTCTCATTGGCACACAATAGTTTCTCGTACACACGCAAGTTTCTTGTAGCCAGGCATTAGATTCTCGTAGACACACAATAGTTTCTCGTGGGCAGCAGTAGTTTCTCATGGACACGCATTAGTTTCTTGTGGGCACGGAATAGTTTCTCGTGCACACGCAAAAGTTTCTCGTAGGCACGCAATAGTTCAGCCATCTTAGTCGAATTTACTGGAGTTCAAGGACATGAGGAGGCTATGCTGCATCTGGGAGGATCTTGAAAAATTTGGGGAAATTCCAATTTATATCAAGAATATGACAGGAGTATAAAAGACTGATGAGCAGATTGCTGCTTCGGATACTGATACCGTCAGTACCCCCGGCGCCTAGAAGCCCAGAGCAGGACAAGACAAGAAACGCAAAACTAAAGACAAGAAGCGGACTACACCTTTGATTGAAACCGTGATTACTGTATTTTAAACTTCAGTGTTTGAGGATTATTTGCCTTTATATTTTTGTTTATAAAAAGAAACATTACCAATTAAATTAAATGTAATTGATTACAAAAATTGCCTACCAAGGTTTTGATAAATAGTGTTTTAAGACTTTGAGTAAGAACATACCACAAAGGAGTCTTTTGACCAAGTTGCAATTCATTTGAAATGCTTAGAACTTAGGCCAGACTGGACTTACTTTACCTAACCTGAGAATAATAAATTATAAGGTTAAAGGTGTTAAAATCAAAGTACACACCGCAAAATAATTTTTTATGACCTTAAATTTGATAAAACCAAATTTAAGACATTTTAAGAGCTTTTAAGTACTGCTGGTTTGGACATGCGTTTGACGGTTTACACATTCACTCTGGTAGTGTGTGTTTGAACATCTCTGTAAAGTTTACATGAAAAATGTCTTGACCCCCTTGTACTGTGTTTAGTTGCTGTATACTAGAAAGCAAGCATTCTCTCCTCTGTTTTATCAGGGAAAGAAGACAAATTACAAACTTCCTGAGCTTGACCAGTGTTTACTCTGCCTTCCAGAGCCCGGGAGTCACAGAGACCGTCGCCAAGATACCGCACCACATCAATTGTGGATGCCATGTTATTTCCAGACAACGTAATCTCAATGTAATCCCACCAAAGAACTCTGAAATGGGGGCAAATGCCACTGAATGACACTAAAAGTCTTTTACATGAGCATTTCTGTCTTGCTCTCCATAAAAAAAGATCTAAACATCCTTCAAACAAGGCAAATTCACTTGAAGCGTTTGCTTAATGTAAAAATGTATGGTTTATAAATGTAACCTTCTCCCTTTAAATACTTTGGTCAATTTATGCAATTTTAAATTATTTATTTGAAAGAATTAAAAGAGCTGTTTCATGTCTATCATTGTATTGTTCAACTGGTCGATGTTGATATGGGATTTAGAAAGTAATTACTAATATGTAATGCAATACTTTTTAGAAAGAGCATTTACTACAGTAATCTAATTACACTGCTGAAGATGTAATTAGCAGCTAATAATTAATTTCTTTTTTAGAGTAACTTAACCAATGTTTTCTCCTTTCAACAAAGGAACAATCCAAGACAATCTAATCCACTAAAGAAAAAAACTAATTCAAAATATATTGTCTGAAACCAAAATGCCTTAATTTCTTATTCAGTTTTCTTAATATATATAACTATTTATTTCGTTTTAAGCACGTTTAGGTGTATTACCGGAAAACAAGACAAAACACTGATAGAGAACATTTGTTTGTTTTTTTGCATGACTTTGCTGTCCAGACCTGAATACTTGTGAAGTTTGCAGTCATGTTTTCATGATGAACTTACAGTTTCCAATGACCCAGATTTTCTATCTTCACCATCTTTTACTCTTGTTGATTCTGACAGGAGCTTCTACTTATTTATACAGAAGGATGATGATGTAACAGTTTAGCCTTCTGTAATTCTAAATGCTTTATATGTGTAATTTTCTTACTTGGACACTTGTAAAGTTTGCGTGCCTGTGCGATGTCTCCTTTACTCAATCTGGTCCTCTGACCGATGGGTGGCCGAACTCCGTTCACATCATATCGTGGCAGAATGGTGTCCAAAAATATCCCTCTGTCAGGAAAAAAAAATCACTTAAATCAAAATGAACAGACACATAAAGACTAATCTGTTTTATGTTAATCCCCATTCACTATCTCTTGTTTCCAGGAATGTCTAACAAAACTCTCCACACCCACACACAGAGTCATGGGTACTTGTATAAACACATATGTTATCTCACACTTTAAGATTCAGTGGCAAGTTTCAGCAGAAGTACAGAATGTGACGGCTAGGACTCGATAGGCTGTAAAGTCATTTGTGGAGCAGACAACAATCCGAAGGGAATTCAAGCCGTGTTATCCGTGAAAGCAGTCATGAAAGTTGCAGCCTGTGGCTCGCCTGCTCTTCTGTTGTTGTTTTCTGTGTAACACCATGTACAATCTTGACTCTCAATATTAAGAGCTCCACCTTGGTCTACAAAAATGTCATAGCTTAAATTCAGCACGAGTATGTATTATTTGAGTCCAGCGCTGCAGGTGCTGTAATCTGACAGTGTTTTATAAAGCAAAAACACAGACAGATCTGATCCATATGTACATAAGTCAACTATAGTGTATATGGACAGTGTTGGGTAAGTTACTCTAAAAAATGTATTAATTATTAGCTACTAATTACATCTTCAACAGTGTAATTAGATTACTTGACTAATTACTTTCTCCAAAAAGTATTGAATTACTAGTAATTACTTTCTAAATCCCATACCAACCTTGAACAGTTGAACAATACAAGGAAATTAAAATACAAAGACATTAAAAACATGCATTTTAACATTAGATCTTAAATTTTGATGTTAAATACACTATTGTTGTATACTGAACTGTCAAATATTCAACACGGTATTTAATTCAGTTACACCAGAAGTAACTGTAATTACATTACAGAAAAAGAAGTAATCCATTAGTTTACTTTTTTAAGAGAAAAGTATTTGAATTACAGTAATTAATTACCTAGAAATGCATTACACCCAACACTGCATATGGAATTTAATAATGTGAAAGTAAACCCCACGAGCACTTCCTGTGACAAGTTTGGTCGACTTTAGAGAGATTTGACATTGTTTATAATGCTCACATTTGCTATTGAATACACAACTGTAAAGTACAAAATGTGATGCACCGAAACAATGAAAATGCAATGAACGTTTTAATTTAGTCAAAAATCGGAAATTATATTTTATATAATTACGGTATTTTGTGCAGGGTGTCATGTTCTCGGTTAGTAAGCTAAACAAGTTGTAGTACATTTTTTTGGCAATGATAATTCAAACGAACAAATGTTACATATTGCTACTCTAGTATTGATGCACTGAAATGAAAATTCTGGATGCACTTGGCATAAAACCATAATGCAAATAGAATTTATTCAATAATTAATTAATTAATGAAATATATTTAATAATCAACATTCCTTTCTAGAGTGTTTTTTTTTCTTCCTAACTGTCTATCGAGTTTATGGACTTTGAATGTCTTGCCTGAGGTAAATGTAATGTTACATGACATTATTGTTGACATGATACATTTCAGTAAGTTGTTCCGTTTATTTCAGCATGCTTTCTGATGTTTATTCATGTTTATTTGGTGCCATAACTAGTAGTAGCGGAAGAGATGATCGATTCACATGCCGCTTGAACTGATGCAGACAGAGCAAACTGTCACGTTACATTAAAAAGCGGCAACACCATATTTATTGTTTGCATTTTGTGATATAATTGACATAATATGAAAGCTGAGACTTTGTTTCATATTAAAGCACAAAGCTTATTGTAATTATTGGATGGCATGTGCGCTAAAAATGTTTAGTGAAGTTCAAGTAACAGAAAACAGCACAGACTAAAAGACTGATCTTGATATTTACGAATCTACATCAGTATTGATTAAACATGAGAAATTTATATTGTTAATCCAGAACTAGCATCCACACAGTTGGTATTTTCAGTTGAAGTAATTTTGATTGCTGAAATCTCGGTGCATCGCTATACTCTAGCATAATTTTTGGTCACAATAAAGTGAGTCCACATAGCTGACAGATTTACATGTTGTAGCTTATTCACAATGTGAATACAGAATAAACAGTCAAAAGGAGTTATGGAAGAAGCTTATGGAAGTAGAATTTTTCCGGTCAATGTAGCGTAAAATTTATGTTTTGGTTTTACAAAATCTCCATTCAGTTTTCTGTGAAAGTGAATACATTAAAATGTGCATACAGAACTTGTGGTTTCCTTTGGTTACTAACATTTGTCTCAGGTGATTTGATCAGCTGAGACGGATTGCAGTTTACATCTGATTTTAATATCTCAAATGAGTCTGACCGCAAATATTTCAGGTATAGGTGTGGCCTTTTCCAAACATTTCCAAAATGACTTAGCTTGTTTTGTTTCAGATTACTTGTTACATTATAAATCTGTTGTGAGACCGGCCCGGACCACCTCTGAATGTGGTTTAAGAGTGCAGATCACACACTTTTCCAACCCTGGAAGACTACAACTGTGTTACATCAAACCAATCAACGGGAGTCTGGATGAAGATGACTCAAACCATAATAAAAACCCCACTGGTCTGATGACTCTACAGCACTGACAGAAAAACAATGACCTTTCCTGGGACAGTCACTAAATCCAGCAGGCCTGAGACAGAGCGTGACCACTAAACTAGCAGCCGAAACATGGCCTGAATTCATGTTCAACTTGGCAACCTCACACGGAGCAAGAACCTCCTGCGTGATGTCACGGGACTCCTGATTGGCCGCTCCAGGCCTGATGCTTCCTTAAATGTCATGACATCATGAGAGCATGTGGTTGTAAATAATCTCTAAACAAAAGAAATGCCGAGTAAATATGGAAGGGATTTGATCTTTCCATCACATCCCGTTCTCCAGTCCTACTAACTCTGACTGAAAAAACATTTGCTCAGTTCAACAAAGAGTGATTCAGTATCAAAAAACCTGTCTGTTTTCTCGCCCTTCTTTTCGTACTTTGACACTCTTTGCTAGTTTATCGTCGAGCTTTTCAGTCGGCGGCGGCCAGCGAGGGCCTGCTCATTTGTTTGTTCCCATGGGAACCTTCCAGTCAACAGCAGGCATGTTCAAATAGGGAAGGATGGCCTTTCCAGAGCTCAACTACAACCTTTATATGAGAGAAATCAGCAGAGAAATGCAACCCCTATTTTAAATAAATAAACAGTGTAGTGATTTAAATATGTACTATCTTCAGGTTCAAATCAAACAAATCAAAGACACTTAAAGCTACAAGAGACAACATCATCAAAAGATAAAAACTACTATACATTTAAATATCATGAAAAAAGTGAATTTTTTATTTAATATTAGCGCTGTCATTAACACGTTAATGCATGCGATTAATTTTACAATCCTTAACGCGTTAAAATAATTTAGCGCACTTAACTCAAAATTACTAAAGCACAATTTCTATTCTAACCCTTTAACCCAATTTTGCTTCTCTGCTTGCGATCAGATCATTTTAAGCTGCTAAACTCCGGGAAAGTTTTCAGTCAAATGATCCAGTAAGCGAATGCTTTCAAACAATCCGTCCAAAACAGCGCTAATATAAAGGACACCAGGCTGATTACATCAGAGATTGCAGAGAGAACAGAGATTCGCGTTGCATTTTAAGTGGATTATTCATTCCAGTGTTTCACTTTTAAACTCGAGCTCTGTCATATTCTGTGATTGTCCCTGAAGAGCGCGAGCCCTCACACGTCGTGCGCTTGTGTGAAGTATAGGCTGAACGGATTGTCAACACTTCCCACCGCTGTATGGCCAGATGAGACGCAAACTATGTTTTCTTGACTGGATAACCAGTCTCTCTACTAAAGTTTTGATGGATGAAGACTGCAATCAAGGTAAAGACGATTGCGGTGGCGTACAG